GTTGTGGGAGTGGGAACTTCCGTGGGCCCACAAAATAGTATCTGACTGCTGCCACTCCTGCTGCCAGTGCAAATATGTTGAGAAGAAAAGGATCACAGGAAGATGGACTGGGACGCACAGAGAGCAGGTTGTAGGCACATGGGCCAGGCTCCAGGCTCCAGCGTCCAAGATTTAGGCACAGCCAGGAGGACGAAACCAGTGGTGGAAGTGAAGCAGGTGAGGTAGGATTTTTGCACAGATGGACCTTGAGGCTGTAGCAGCTGATCCCAGGGCGGAGGCCGTCTGTCTGTCTGCCCTTTTCCCCAGTTTATGCATCTTGGCTAATGTGAGCAACTAGTGTCTGACCAGGTGTGTGTGCTGCCAACGGGGAGAGAGATCAGCCTCCACAGGTGCTGGCACTGGTGATGGCGGGGTCCCAGCAGAGGCAGGGGCCTCTGGTGGATGCTGCCATCTTCAGATCTACTCAGCCAGCAAAGCCAACCCCGGCCGAAGCAGAAGCCCTGGCCAGGAGGGATCCTTTGCTATGATGTCAGTATCCCTTACGCTTTCCGGTGGCAGTTCCCCTTAACACCAGGTGCCAGGCACAGGAGGCCCTCGGGTGTTAGAATAAACAAGTGAGTGCAGACTCTCAGGACACAGCTTGACATCCACCAGGACTTTTCTTAGACTTAGCGTTCAGGGAGGGGAGCAGAGTTTCCTAAGCCGGAATCATCAGGAGCGCCACTCTTAGAGCTGTGTTACTAGAAAGAGTTCCATGGGAAATACTGGGTGAAACAAAGTCAAGTGTTCTCTTTATTTTGGGTCTTCTCAGAGTCTAAGCTGTGAGAAAATACTTAGACGCTGAATATTTAGGAGGGGGACATAGCGTGCGGCATTTCCTGAGCTTATTCACCCCTGGAGACCCTCGTCTGAGAGATTTCTGTCCATGTCTCACAGGGCTTGTGTTCCGCAGAACCCAGCTGTGGAGCATGCCCTTAAGAGATGCCCGCACTGCCCACGACTGTGCTGAAGGGCAAAGTCTCTGCTGTCTGGTCCTTCCAAAGTCCCTGCACATTCCTGCCTCCATCCACTGCGTAGGCTGGACCTGCCCCAGAAATGCCCTTTTCCTACTCTCTGCCTTTGCAAATGCCATCCAGCCCAAGTCCCACCCACTCCGCAGAGGCTTTCACAGCTCCCCCAAAGGGACTGCATCACTTGTTGCTTCAAGCGTCCTGCACCGAAGCAGATGGCACCTTATTTCTCTGTGTTCTCCACAGCATGGCCCAGGCCCAGGCAGGTGGTGCTCCAGGAGAGCTCAGTTTGGGCCGTGGCCTGTGGATGGCCACGTGGGCTGACAACACCCTGTGTGCAGGTGTGAGATGCACACTTCCTGGGCACTTTCTCTTCCCTTTATTCCCCCTGCCCAGCCTATCGGGGGCAAAGCAGCCATGGTTCCCAATAAGGAAAGCTGCTCCTTAATATGTAGATAAGAGGGAAGGGAACTGGTGGATCTATTTACATGGACTCTTCCCCTAAAGTGAAACCAGGGGCATTTTCTTATTTAACTATTAATGCCCTAAATCAGACGGTGCCCAATATGTTAACCTCTGTCACTCCGAATGGAGTCGGCCTAATGACCACTGCGGCAGGATTGATTTTCCCTCAGTCATCTCATAAGCATATGTCTTTGGGATCTGTCCTCAGAGAGATCCTAGGAAAGTCCCATTAAAGTTAATGGGGATGAGTTGCCCCCACGTGGTGATGGCTCCTTTCTTCACTATGCCTGAGTGAAGTGTGGGAGACAATCCTCCCTCCTCCTCCCCTCCTCCCTCCCTTCTTTCTTCCTCCCTCCCTCTCTCCCCCCCCTCTTTTTCTTTTCTTTTTGTTTTCTTTGCTTTGCTTTCTTTTCTTTCCAGCGGAGGTCTGTCTCACTCTCTTGCTCAGTCTGGAGTGCAGTGGTGCAATCGCGGCTCACTGCAGTCTTGAACTCCTGGATTCAAGTGATCCTTCCACCTTGGCCTCCCAAAGCACTGGGATTACAGACGTGAGCCACTGCGCCCTGCCAGAAATACTTTTTCTAAAATCAGTTCCTGAAAGGGCAGCCTAGGACTCGACCTCACCTTTAGGGTACCTCCAATCACATTGGAAAGATAAAATGAACACGCTGGAAAGATGTCAGTGCAAGATGCAAACTGGTCTTGCTGGACTGTGTGGCCCTGGCTATCAGTGACATGCATGCGGCATGCCTGGAATGCAGTAGGTGCCAAGCCCTGCAGTGGGTGAGGGGGCTGGGGACCTGACCGCACCTTGAGTGGATGATATTTGGATACGAAGAGTTAAGGATGAAGAGCATTTAGGGGATGAGGAGCAGTGTGAGTGAGGCTGGGAGGGGACAATGAGCAGGAAAGAAGTCCAGCCTAACCCAGGGAAGGAGGATGCATGTTAAGATTGCATATTTCATATTGGGCCAGGTGGAAAGAAGAAAGCAGAGAGATTAGAGGAGTCCTGTCTTCCACTCTACAGGCTGGGTGTCCTTCCTGCCCTGCCCATTGCCACAGAAGCAGACTTGGCCTCAGATAGGGATCTTTCTGTTCAGAGCTGGAGTGTGAATCCCGGGAAGCCCTCTGCTCTGCGCATTTTGCCATGTGCACTCTAATGGCGTGAGGAGTGGAAGTTGGGTCTCAGACTATCAGTCTAAATTAGTCTATATGCCAGCCAGATGGCTACTTCCTTGTGCTCCCCCAGTCCATCCATTTCTACTTCCCGTGTGCACATCCAAACCTCCAACACCCTCTCTGTGCCCTGGTTTCCATGCAAGGAGAAGTCAGGGAAACTGTCCTGTCTAGACCTGACTCAGAGAGAAAGAGGTTTTCATGAGGATTTTAAAATCTCACAAATTACAGCAACGATCCAAGTTACCTCTCTCTCCCATCACGTGGGTCAAAAGGGACCAGAGGAACAATCTTCTCTTGTCCAGGTGGCCTCATCTTTTGATACTCTTGGTGTAATAAGTTTGAAGATGCTGTCAGGAGGTTCGCTTGGGAGAATGCTGGAGATTATAGGAGCGGCCCAAGTAATGAGTCCGGGCCACAGAGAGAACCCAGACAAGGCAAGATATCCTCTACAGCTGGCATCAACTCCACGCCTCTGGAGCTCTGTGTCCCATTGTTTATTTCTTTATTTGATGCCTGATTAGCCCAAACCCCACTTGGAGGAAGATGCTTTTTCCACTTTTGACTCTCTGCAAAACTCAGTGCCATGTCTTGGGCAGGCTCTTTCTCTGCTCTAGGTTGAATCTCCCAGAGGAGAATGGATTGAAATGATGGCTGCGCTCCTCTGCATCGCTGGTGTTGTACAGACTCCAGTTTGTGTGGAGGCTTCTGAGGTGCTGATTGGGTCTCTGGGGTCGGGGGAGTGGACCGGGGGAGCGGGTGGGGAGCTCTGAGCGTCTGCACTTTGCATACTGCTGGACTCTGCCCATTGAGCAGAAACACCGGAATTGCTCCCCTCCTTCTGATTTTCATTTGAAATCTGGCTAAATCTGCATTTTATTCAGCTGATTTCCAGATCTCAAACAGAAACACCTCATTAATCACTAATTTAGACCCCCCACGGCTATACAGAATTTGTGACAATTTGTTTATCTTTGAAGGAGCTGCTGAGAAAGAGTTTAATAAGGAAATTATTGTGGAGGGGAGGAGAGTATTTAACCTTTCAGAAGAAAGGCACTCCATTTAGCTTCCCTGTGGGTACAAATGGGGGTGTCCGTGAAATCCATGCCGGCTTTTATCTGTTCTGCTGAGTGGGGTGAGCGCTTCCTCATCTGAGAACTCAGGGCCAGTGGGATAGATCCCCAACCCTTTCAAGCCTGTGACCCCTTTCCAATGTCAAAATATTTTCTGTAACACCCGCACCCCCAGTTATTAGAAGTTGCAATTTTTAGTGTTGCTGATGAAGAAGAAAAGCGACTCTGAATTCAGTAAAGCTTTTAAATCAATCACGATAGCGTCTATGTGCACATGAAAAACAGTTCTGTTTTTCCGAGTCACGGCGTTCATTCAGTCTACAGATGATGTTTGGGTGCATATGAATTCCAGCGCCTCTGCACCCGTCAAGGTCAGCGACCCACCAGGTTGCAAGCGTTGGACTAGAAGTTCTCTGAGCAGGAGGACCACAGAGTCCTGGCGTGCCAGGACAGGAAGGAACCTCAGGAGGCATTTCAGCCACTCCCACCCGAAAGGTTGTCTGCCCTCTGTGAAGAGCCCCTTGTCGGGGACCCCTAGTTTAGTGAAGCAAGGGAGTTGGCATCCCACGTAGGCTCTCATTTCAGGGGCCTGGATCAAAGCCTGTGAACTGATTCCTTAAGGTCCCTTACCAGGTGGTCTAAGCCTGGCATCCCATAGTGGGAATGACACCTGATGACTACGTCACTCTGGGCAGAAGTAGCTGATATCCCATAGGAGACAGAAGAAGCAAGGTCCAGTCTTCCGTGGCTTGTGGGCCCAGAGCTCAGGGTTTTCTTGGCTTATTTGCCCCCAGGTCCACATAAGAGATCTTTTCTCTCTTTCTTCTTGCCAGGAAGGAGTAGGGAAAGGAAGTAGATGGGCAAAGAGTGTCAATGATGAGGGAAAAGGGAACGGAGAGGGCATTCCCTTTAAAGCAGTCCAGATCTGGGGTCCTTGGGTCCAAGGATGGTCCTGGGGGCCTGAGGACACCCTGCAATTACAGCCAATTTTGCACTCATGGGCATTTTTCTGTGGAGAGCATCTATACCTTTCACTGGATTCTCAGAGCAGTCCCTGAGCCAAAAAAACGTCCAGAACCTCTGGACTGGAATTTGGACTTTTCCCTAACTCAGGCTTCCCACTCTCCTGTTACTCAGAACTGGTGAACGGTTACAGTGTTAGTCAAAGCCTGCTATGCGAGCTATCAGATGCTCATTACCCACAAGATGCAAAACTAAGTAGACGCCAGGAACATGGTCTGATCACAGACGCGGCCTCCTTTGTTCTCCCGTGCAGGGCCCGGGATGGTGCTCTCCCTGACGGGGCTCGTGGCCTTCTCCTTCCTGCAAGCCACCCTTGCCCTGAACCCTGAGGACCCCAACGTGTGCAGCCACTGGGAAAGGTAAGGCGCAGGCCTCAGATGGCCAGGCAGTCTCTGGGAGATCACCCTGGGGACGGCACTAAGGGACGCGGGCAGTCAGGAGATAGGGGAGCTGGCCTCGAAGGGCTTGCAGCCTGGCTGGGGAGACAGCCCAGATGCCCAGAGACAGGACAGAGCAGTGTCGATTCCAGAAGGTCAGGGTGGAGGCAACTTACATTCACTGCAGCTACGACCCGCTCCCAGCACTGGCACTTCTCAGCCACTGCACAGACGAGAAAGTAGAGACCCAGAGGGGCTCACCCTGTCCATAGCCAGATGGGGTGCAGAAAGTGGGGGGATGCGGACCGCGGCCTCAGGTGGCATGCTCTCTGAGGCTGCGATGCCTTTCCTGGTCTCCACTGGCAGCCACGTGGCAGCTTGGATGTGTGGCCCCAGCAGCCTGCCTGAGGAGGACAGGTGATGGGGTCCTACTACTTCTGGTCTGGTGGGGGTAGGGTGTTGTTGGGGAAGGGAGGCTGAGGCTGCAGCACAGGAGCAGGCTGCATTCCAGCTGTGGCACTGAGTCCTGGGGGAACGGGCCTGGTCTCTGCAGACGGCCTGACTTTGAAGCACAAGGTTAAAGTATTGATTTTGGTGAGCAGAAAGACAGTGACCGGAGACCCAATCAGGAAAAACCGAATTAAACCCTGGAATTGATTGGCCATGCTGACCAGGGCGACTCTGCCACTTAGATGTTAATAAATCAAATGAATAAAATTAAGATGAGGGCCTTATGGGAGAAGTGAATGGTAGAGGAAGAAGGGTGGGGGATGTGGGGGGTGTCCATGCTTCATGCCCATGAGGGTGGAGAGCCCAGCCCTGGGGCAGGGAAAGGCAGGATGTGGCTCTGGGGTAGCCTGGACACTTGTGGGTCAGGAGGGATTAGCTGGGGGACAGAGGGACAGTGTCTGCACTGGTGTGATCCCCGGGGACCTGACCCTGTATGTAGCGTCCCAACAAAGTTGAGGATGGAGCAAAAGGCGTGTGCCCCTTTTTGGTGAAGTGAGAAGAAAATAAGATCCATGATGAGAAGACTCAGTTCACTCCCATCTGGATTTTTCCACCTGCAAGCTGTGCGACTCTGGGGAAGTCTCTGAAAGGCTCTGAGCCTGCTTCCACCTCTGTAAAGTGGGGAGAGTCATTACCCTGGCCTCACAGGCTCGCTGGAGGATCAAGCGCAGCCGTCTCATGAAAGTGCTTTGTGGACCATACTTGTCAGTTACTGTCTTTTCTTGTGGACAACTCTGGCTTTGCAGGAACTGGTTATGGATTTTATTTAGTACACGGCAGACTCATGGGAGGTGCATATGAAAAAGTCTCCTGGAGCCTGTCTCCAGAGATGCTGCTGACTCAATATTGTATTTTTCATAAGCTTTCTTTTCTTTCTTTTTTTTTTTTTTTTTGAGGGAGAGTTTGCTCTGTCACCCAGGCAGGAGTGCAGTGGCACGATCTCGGCTCACCAGAACCTCCACCTCCTTGGTTCAACAATTCTCCTGTCTCAGCCACCCGAGTAGCTGGGATGACAGGTGCCTGCCACCACATCCAGCTAATTTTTGTATTTTTAGTAGAGACAGGGTTTCACCATGTTGGTCAGGCTGGTCTCAGACTTTCTGATCTGCCTGCCTTGGCTTCCCAAGGTGCTGGAATTACAGGTATGAGCCACTGTGCCTGGCATTTTTCATAAGCTTTCTATGTGATTCTGAGGTTACTCAGGCCCCTTGCCTGCTCTGGCTTTGGTGAATTTAAACCTTTATTTACCAGTGGGTCAGAGGCATCAGGAAGAGCCCCACGTGATTCCGTGGGTTTGGACTGCAGCCTCAGAGGACCCCTTTCATCTGTCTGGTCCCGTTAAGACACAGCTGCTTCCTGCTACTGTCTCTGTGGCATCACAGCCTCTAGAGTGCCTCCTTTCCAGCTGCTCACCTCTGCCTGCCACAGTGGCTCTATCCAGAGCCCCTCTTCTCCAGGGAGCCTCCCCCACAGGCAGGGCCCCTCTGCCTTCCCTCTTTCTCTGAGTCCCATTGGTACTCACTAATTTTCTATACCCGTCCAACATCAATACATTTGGAATGTGAAAATGGTCTGAAGTGAGCTGAACTGAGCTGGCATTCCAGGCTTCTTAGGCTGTCAGCCAAGGTTACAGCCTGGAAGGGAAGACAAGGAGTGAAACCCTAACAGCTGGAATGAGGTCTGGGAACTCTCTGGGCCTCTCTGGCCCCAAGCAGGAAGTCTTATGGGTGATGCCTGGTGTCACCAGGGTGCTTTGTGTTCAGTCGTTTCAGCTGAGCTCCGTTGTAAGTTATGTGTGGACGGATCTAGTCTGTTGTTACAGAAACATACCCCCGCCCCTGGAGACCACTTAGGGAGAATTTCCCAGCTGGATTAGTGCTTCTGGCGGCTCCTCATTAATTATGCCCCTCCACCATAAAACCCAGTGTAAAGACCTCTCCCGGCTAGTAAAGCCTGGCTCTTCAAGATTAATTTGGCCCCTCATTAGCATGTTGGCAAATGAGCAGTGTTAACCACCCAGCCATGAAACCGGGGGCACACACTTTGGGTCAGAGAACTTGGAGCTGTTACAAGGCCTCGTTGCCAGACTCATTCAGCCCAGGGCATCCTGTAGAGCCCGGTCCCTGCCCCGGGACTGCCCCTCCAGCATTCTGCTGCGCTTCTCTCTGACATCCCTGGTCCATATCAGGGCTGAAAAGGGAGGCTGGAACCCCGCAAGTGCTTAACAAAGGTGGGGAGTCCATTCTGTGGGCTGGTCTTGCTCCCTCTCTCCCCCACCTTGGTCAGGGAGGAAAGATTCCTCAGCGCCCAGCACCGGAGGTGAACATTGCCTGTCAGCATCTATTAAACACTTACTGTTGAAGCATGTTACATGCACAGTTTGTTTTATTTCCCCACTGCCCTGAGAGAGAGAATATTACTGCCTTCCTTTAATCCTCACACTAACCACACAACCTGGTTAGATTTACAGGTGAGGAAACAGCGGCTTCGATGAGTCAAATAACAGGGCATGGCGCTGACAGGCAACAGGTGTCAAACTTGCCCTTCCCACTGCCCCGTGTTTGGACTCCAGGCCCCATGCCCGCTCCCCATTCATCCTCTTGCTCTAAGTGAGGTATTCAGGATATGTATTGGAACAAAGAATCATACGATCCCAGAGTTGGAAGAGGACTTTGGGTGGCTGGGCTGAGTGTCATGTTGCCTCAGTTTCCCCAAGCCTGGAGATTAAACAGGGTTTGGGCTGTTTTTTCCTAGATGTGTGCCTCTGAGGCACATCTCAGGTGTGCCAGCTGGTAGGGGCACACCGAGAGCCCTCCTTACATCACCAGTGCTTCAGAGAAACAGAATTTCCCACTGCCCAGGTCTCTGAGCCATATTGACTGCTTCTGGCCTCCTCCTGGATTCCAGACCTCTGACCTTTCTGGCATCAGAGCCTGCTGCGGACCCACTTAGGGAGCTGGCCTGCCCACCCACCTTGCAAGTTAACCAAGACAGTTTCCTCCGGCAAGGCAGACGTGCTTTTACAGCCTGGACCCGGCCATCTGGCCCAGGTCAGCGAGCCTTCTGGGGAATACACTGAATAATACCAACCTACATAGAAATGAATTCCTTAGATCTCGTGAGTCCTCACTTCAGCATCCCGGCTTGAATGTCATTTCATGCAACCCCTGCCAGGTGCCAGCAGGTAGAAAGGCTTATTTTGGTTAAGCTGAGATCTGCTTCCCTGCAGCTTCCACCTGCTGGTCCAGGTTTATAGCTAACAGGCAGGATGACAAGAAACCACTTCGATCAGGGACACAACCTCAATGTACCCCCAGCTATACTAGAGGCAGAACAGGTTAGAACGTAACCGGGGAGCTTGTGGAAGCCACTTATGCCCTCTGATGCTCAGTTTCCTGATCTGTAAAGTGAGAAGAATTCCACCTGCCTAAGATTTCATGGATTAAAAAACACTTGACATGGGGTGCTCAATAAATGTTAGCAGTGATTTTTACGGCAGTGCGAGCTGGTAAGCCACTTCTCTCTGAGCCTTAGTTTCTTCCTCTGTACAGTGGGGCCACTTACTTCACGGAGTTGCTGCAAAGACCAGTTTCCAAGCAGGTTCTTTCAAAACCATAAAGATAGGAAGAAACATATAAAGTATTTTTAAACTTGATGGCTCTGCCTTCCAGAGGCTCACAGAATAATACTACCCTCCCTTCTTTATTCACTCTCTGTTAAATGAACAAATGAACTAAAATTTTAGAAAATGATCTGGGCCAACGGTCAGCAAGGGATGTTTCCTGGGGCCAACCTGGGGGGTCGGGGAGGCTAGAATGTGAGGGCATTCAGGACAGGAGGGGGATAGTTGGGAGGGGGGAGGTCAGAGCCTCCTGACACTTGGCTGTGGAGCTTGGCCTCGGGGCTGTGGGCTCAGATGCCCTGCGGAATGTCAGCTCAGCTTCCCAAGTGCCAATCATAGCTCCCGTCTCCCGTCTGCTTCTCAGCTACGCCGTGACTGTCCAGGAATCGTACGCGCACCCCTTCGATCAGATCTATTACACGCGATGCACAGACATCCTCAACTGGTTCAAGTGCACCAGGCACCGGTGAGTACCTCTCTCAGATGACGGGGCAGGGAAAAGGCACTGGGCTCTCAGGGCTTGCCTCTGTGCAAGTTAGAAAAAGGCCTCTGGAGCAGATGTGGTCCTGCACTGAACACCCAAGATGCTCTGCTGATGGCTTCTTTCTGGCCGAAAGAGCTTGTGGGTAGTACAGGCCGGAAGCGCTGAGGTTAATGCTCTTGAGGGCACCCCTCTACAGGGATGGGGAGATGGGGAGTTGGTGGATAACTACCCCAACTTCCTCATTCTTGGGGTGGTAGGAACGTCTCTTAGTCATGTTCTACATGTATCCTAGAAGTCTCCAGGGATGGAACCCCAGTTGCCCATAGAAGTAACCTGCTCAGTAATATACTGTATATTGGTTGCCTTTACTTCCCTGTCTCAGTTTTTCACCCACCTACCAGTGCTTCCTAGGATTGCCTCCAAAATAAACTACTTATTCTTGAAGCCTCTCAGGGTTATATAAGCCTTTTCTCAGGGTCTGCCTTTAGGGGAGAACTGAACCTAAGACAGCCCCCCGAGCAAAGGTAGCCCCATATCAAGGCATCCAGCTTGAAGAACAGACTGCAGGCTAGAATCCAGCAACCTCTCAGCACCTTGGCCAGGCTTCCCTTGGCAGTGCTCAACATGGACAACTGCACATGGCAGTCCAACACCCTTGTCTGCAGCCCTCCTGCAGATCATGCCATGTTATCACGTCACTAAGGAAGAGGCAAGAGGAAGGAAGAAAGAACGTGCTTTAGGGGGTGACCCTAGGAAAGATACTTTATTTTGGGATTCCCTAATAATCCTTATTCTACCTACCCTGCAGTGTCCAGGAAGGTCAGAAATGTGAAATTTACTTTGAAAAACACAGGGGAAAATGGAGGAAAGTGTGAGATATCAGTCACATGTGAAGTGACAGTATCTGAAGGGTCAGAGGCCAGCTGTTGAAAGGTGAACAGTGGAATAGGGAGCGACCCCATGGTGGGTCCTTTTCCTAGTTGCTGAATATCTGTTGATTCCATATGTTTTTCTTTTGCTTTCCCCTGTGAGCCCGGTTCCTCTTTGGGGATGACTCAGGGATCATGCTGGGCAGCCACGGGGGTGAGAAAGTTTGTTGTGTGCTCAGATGCCGCAGTCCTGGTTTTCTTTGAGGATTTGCTACTAACTGGCTGTGGGACCTTGAGCAGAGCTATACTTGCTGCTTTAAAATCCTTGTCTGGGCCGGGCACGGTGGCTCACGCCTATAATCCCAGCACTTTGGGAGGCTGAGATGGGTGGATCACGAGGTCAAGAGATCGAGACCATCCTGGTCAACATGGTGAAAACTTGTCTCTACTAAAAATACAAAAAATTAGCTGGGCATGGCGGCGCGTGCCTGTAATCCCAGCTACTCAGGAGGCTGAGGCAGGAGAATTGCCTGAACCCAGGAGGCGGAGGTTGCAGTGAGCCGAGATTGTGCCATTGCACTCCAGCCTGGGTTAACAAGAGCAAAACTCCGTCTCCAAAAAAAAAAAAAAGAAAATTCTTGTCAGGTCTGCTAATTACAACATCTGGGTTTTCTCAGGGTTGGTCTTCATTGACTGCTTTTTCTTTCTTTTTTTTTTTGAGATGGACTCTTGCTCTGTTGCCCAGGCTGGAGTGCAGTGGTGCGATCTTGGCTCACTGCAATCTCTGATTCCCAGGTTCAAGCAATTCTCCTGCCTCAGCCTCCTAAGTAGCTGGGACTACAGACTCGTGCTGCCACACCCAGCTAATTTTTTTTTGTATTTTTAGTGGACACGGGGTTTCACCATGTTGGTCAGGATGGTCTTGATTTCTTGACCTTGTGATCCGCCTGCCTTGGCCTCCCAAAGTGCTGGGATTACAGGCGTGAGCCACCACGTCCAGCCATTGGTTGCTTTTTCTCCTGTGCGGGTAGTGTGTTTCTTTATATGCCCAGTAATACTGGATTGTATACTGAGCCTTATGAATGACGTGTCGCGGAGACCGGATTCTGTTATGTTCCTCCGGAGAAACTGATTTGTTGTTGTTTTTTGTTTGTCTTAGCGGCCTGGTTACCTGGCTAAACACAGATTCCAAACTCTGAAAATTTAATATTTTGAGCCTTGGCTAGGCTGCTTGGAATCTGCCCTCCGTAAGCATAAATCAGTGGCCAGACACTTGGGCAGGGATTTTACAAAGATTGTAGGGTTCCCTCTTCATGGCTCTTGCCTTTCTAACATTTCCCTTTTCACTTGCCACCTGCTGGGTCCACCCTGGACTCGTCCTGTGGTTCTTCAAAGAAGCAAGGTTGTGTCTTTGCTATCTGAATTTTAATTGCCCAGAGTATTGTTACACTACCTTACCCAGCGCTTCCCTGCCCTCAAATGTCCACTTGCCTCCAGGATCTTCCTGCTTTTGTCCTCCCTCAAGTGCCTTCAGGTAGTTATTTTGTTTGTTATTTCCCCTAGATTTTATAGTTGCTATTTGCAGAAAGGTGGTCCAATAGGAGCGACTCAGCCATTACTGCATCCCCTTCCTCTAGCATTTGACTGTGGAATGAGGAGGTGAGACTAAATGCTCTCTCCCTCCCTCCACCCCTAATTTTGCCAGAGCTGGCTGCTCGTGGCCCTGGTCAAAGGCAGAGGCAGAGATAGTAGTGCTGCCCGTCCCAGAGTCCTGGCAAGCCGAGTATGAGAGCCAAGTTTGCTCTGAGGTGTGGCTCTTTTGGGTACTTGGAGGCTAGGGCTGCCATCCATCACCACTGGGGTGGTGGCTGCTCATTAAAACAGGCTGTAATCCTAGAACATGAATTATTTTGCTAAATTATTGAGTTGCCTTGCAGCTTTCCTGATGACCTGAGTGTGTGTGCTAACAGCTGCACCATCCGTCTGCTTTGGTGCAGAATGGCATGTTCTAACTCAGCATCCTTCCCCTGAGAGCGGCCTGGCACCTAGCCTTGCTTCCCTCTCTTGCTTTCCAACCTGCTCAGGAACAAACAAGGATGGGTGAGCCAGAAACAATGGGTGGCGACTCTCCCCTGAGGGGCTTCCATGATGCCTCGGCCACCCCCAACTGTGGGGCTTTGGGATAATCCTGTTTTGGTGGGGAGAACCGGCTGGATGACCTCAGAGTGGACTCTGAGTCATTCTTTACCTGAGAGGCTTACATAACCCCGGAAACTGCCGGGAGCTGCCTTCAGTGCTGGGGAAGCAGCTTTACTCTGAGGCTAGCTCTCCTTCCATTGTGGTTTTTTGACGAAGTTGAATGACCTTAGCTTACGACATTCCCAAATATCACAGATTTCCCCAGAGTTCTGCACTGTCATTTGTCATGAAGTGAGGGCTTTAAGGCATGGGAGGGTTGTCCCAGCCTGTACTGTAGGACTCTCTTCCCAAGCTGGGCTGGCCCTCCATGGAACGCAGGCTATAGGCATCTCTGATGACCCGACCCTGCTGCTGAGCTGCTGAGGAACAGAAAACAGGTCAAGCTCCCCTTGGGTGCTGATGGATAAGTGGAAGGAGGCCTGGCTTCAAGGCCCAGGGACTTGGGGTTGGGTCCAGGTTACACTCCGTGACGTTGGGCAGGTCACTTCCTCTCTCTGGTCTCTGCGGCTGCTTCAAATCTCTCTCACTTTGATTCTCCGCGTGAAGAAGGGGCTTTGCCTGTGAATACCCCATTTTGATTCCCTTCTGAGGACTCAGTATTTCTTGTTACTTACTCCTTCACTATGGCCACCTGTAAGGTCAGAAACTACCCTGAGAAACCTGGCAGAGGGCAGGTTTTGAAACGGGATGAGCTAGGCTTGAATCCTGACTGTGGCTGTGCTGGTTACGAACCTCAGGGATTTTAGTTTTCTTATCCATAAAACAAAGGGTGGAGAGTGGAAAGGAACACAAAAGAAAACAAGAATAAAAGCTCTAAAAGAGAAAGAAATAAAATAAAGAGGGAGAGTCATGGTGCCTGCCGCAGGGCACGGAGTGAGGTGCTGCTCACAGTCTCTCTGGCATGGGACCCAGTCTTAACACTTGTGTCAGCGTAAGGTCTGACCCCCAGTGCTCTGACTCCACGGGCCTCAGCTCCTTCCTCTGCAGCTCCCCTGTCCCCCATCAATGAGGGATCAGTTCATTGGGGTTGGGTCATCAACCCAACAAGGGTTGGGTCATCAGATCAACCTCCTTACAGGGTAGGTGGAAGCCGGTCAGTTCAAGGCATTGATGATCATCAATGAGGGATCAGTGAGGGGTCAGTTCAGGGCATTCCCAGGGATGGCATGTGAGGCTCCTCTCCCAGAGGTGTTATTTTTGGTGAGGGGGAAGTTAATCTACTCTCCAGGACTGAGTTGGACTCAGAGGGTCCTTTTGCTGACTCTGCCTCAGTTCTCCAAGTTGGGGGGGACCAATACTCAGGGTGCTGTGAGCAGTCTGGGTTGTTAGAGGGGTGGGAGGGGCGGGCACAGAAACCCTCAGGGCCTGACTCTTGTCCAGGTCACCCCATGGGCTCCTCAAGCCCAGAATCTGGGTGTTTTCGGGAACTAAGGAGAAGTTCACGGTTGCCCTCCACAATGTCACCCCAGAAAGCATCTTCTGCAGCCGTTCTATTTAGAAGTGACTGGGGAAAAGTCAGCAGGTTTAGTAAGCGCCGTGTTAGTAATACATTCTGTATCACAACAGCCCAGATCCCACTATCGATTTTTTTATTGTGTTCCTTCATATTTGAAGCCGCCATGCATTTTAAAGTAATTATTGAATGGCATCCCCGATATAGCTTAACACAAATATCATTCTAAAGGGGAGTGATTGATTTTCAATACTTTCAAGTGGCTTTCTCCCTTGTGCCTTAGGATCAGTTATAAGACGGCATATCGGAGAGGCCTCCGGACCATGTACCGGCGGAGGTCCCAGTGCTGCCCTGGCTACTATGAGAACGGAGACTTCTGTATACGTACGTAGGGGCTGTGGCTGTTCTGGCCTTGGTGAGGGGAAGGGAGGGGAGGGGAAAGGAGGGGAGGGGAGGTGGGGCTGATGTCCACGGCTCCCTAGGCGGCAGGACTCCAGAAGTCCCTGCCTGCTGCCAGTGCTCAGAAGGAATAATGAGTTTGGTGCAAATACAGTAGCAAGGGTTGGGACATCAGATCAACCTCCTTACAGGGTAGGTGGAAGCCGGTCAGTTCAAGGCATTGATGGGGGACAGGGGAGAAGTGGCTTCTTCTGGAGCGGGCACTCTGAGGATCGAGGGAGAAGTGCTGGGTGGCTGGCGCAGGGTTAAGGTGTGCAGGTGCTCAAGACGGCTTTGCTGGATGGAAGGAGAGATGGATGGGTACGTAGATGGACAGTTGGTTGGGTGGAAATGGGAAAGGGCAGAAGGAAGTCTGGGTTATTGGATGTCAAGCCACAGTAAGAAAAGGATGGCAAATGTGAGATGGACCTTGAGGGAGTGGTTCCAGGAGCTGGAAAGATTTCCGAAAAGGATTTGGAGGGCACTGGAGAAGAGATGGGTGCATGAAAGACAAACATTGCCTCTTTTTCTATTGTCTAGAGCAGCTCAAAAATGCAAGGCTTAGTGTCCCCTGAGAAAGACAAGAGCTGAGTTGCTGGCAGCTGCAGGCCCTCTAGGAGGGGAGCAGTGCAGTGCATTGGAGGCACCCCGGAGCAGGAGCATGTAGAGCTGGGCTTCCCAGCTATGGGGCTTTCGGCAAGTCACTTACCTTTCTGGGAGAATGATTGTAGGGTCCTTCTCAGATTCTAAGGGACTCTTTCTCCACTCACCTCTGACCCAGTGAAAGGGGGCCAGTGGACTTTCCAGCGGGCCTTGGAAGGTTTCCTCTGTAGCAGGAGAGTGTCAGAGGAGCCGGGAGACCCTGATTTAATGACTGCGAAGAGATTCCACCCCCAGAACTTCTGTCTCTTCATTTGGAGTGTGATTTTCCATGTTAGTATTCTCTTTGCCATTCAAGTGGGTAGAGAGGGTTCACACCAGAGGGAAAATTTGGGCAGAGTGGGTGTGTTGATGCTGGGAATCTGAGGACAATTTTCCCTACTGTTGTTACATCTCCCCCAGTGCCGGAGAAACTCAATTCTAATTGCATTACAAGAATGAATGAAAAACGTACTCTCCGATGGGTTCCACAGTGATGGTTTTGTAGGAAAGATACAAAGCGGTTCACCTAAAAGGCCGTTTTTCAGGAGCAGGACAGAGGACTGAGCTAGGGCGAGGCCTTGGTCAGCATCTCACCTGGGATGGGGTGACCAAGGAGATGCAGGTGTAGATGCGAGATCAGAACTAAGGCTTTACAACTGCTGCTCTGTCAGCATGGAGTAGAGAGCAGTCAGGCCAGGGGCAGGACGTGGGACTCAAAAAGCCTCAGGGACAGAAGTAAGCGGCCCACCCAAGCTCACAGCATAGTGATGGACTCAGGGAAATGAAGAAGGGAGTTTGGACGTCAGCACAGAGCTCCAGGAATGGATGAGCACATTTCCTTTCTAATTTCCATTAGCGAACAGTGGCAAAGCTCTTGGAAAATGAAGAGCAGGGCAGAAGTGCTAAGTGTCCTGATCGCACAGGAGGCCCCGTCTTGCTGACTGGCAAAGGCAGTTTATACCTTCTGACCTACTCCTTACATAACCACCGGCCACCACCTTCTGGGTAGATGACCCTGGGACGGTCCACCAGGAAACCAAGCTCAAAAAGCCACTTTCAGGATGGAAGGCTTCTCCTAGGAGGGCACAGGAGAGTTCTGGCAGGGGATGGGATGTGTGGCACCCTGGGTGCTGGTAGTGATGACACAGAATCACAGGGGCCTGGGTTCGAACCTTACTTCGCCACTGCCAGCTTCTTCATCTTCATTGTCTTCCCAGCACCCACCATATGCCAAGACACCATTGTGATCATTTTACATATGCTGATGCATCTACTGCTCCCAATAGCCCTAGGAGGTAGGTATCCTTATTTCTCTCATTTGACAGATAGGGAAACTGAGTCACACCAATTTTTTTTTTTTTTTTTTTAATGTTACTTGCCCAAGAGCACACATCTGGAAAGTGGCAGAACTTGGATTTGAATCCAGGCTGTCTGGCTCCAGAGTCTCTGCACTCGGATGGCTTGGGCAGGCCGCTTGTCTCTTCATGAACCCAGGCAAGGCTTGACCTCTCCGAACCTCAGTTTTCCTTCATGTAGAATGGGAGCAGTACCACCTGTGCTCACCAGGCACAGAGTTGGGGGCTGAATAAGTGTCAGTTTCCTCCTCCATGGCATTGGTGCTCCATGTTGTTTCAGTCCTGGCTTTTATTTTAGTTGCTCAGAGGTCCATGGACCCTGTCTTGGGAAAACGCATAGTACCTATATAAACATACCAACACACAAAGTGCTTTGCGCTCAAGGTCACTGGGTTCATGCATCCCATGAAACCCTTACAGGCCCCTTGGATGCATGGTAAATAATTTCTGCCCGCATGTTCACGTTACTCTTGCAGCATATACATATGTGTTACTTCCTGCTACACAAGATTCGGGGGACCTAGATACAGATGATGGATGGTTACTGCCCTCAAGGAGTTTGCAGCCTAATCAACAGAGGGGACTTCGGGTATACTACAGGGTATACTAGAAAGGTGTTTCAAGCCAGTATTTAAACACCTACTATAGCCCACCCACATCACTGTGCCGTGAGATAGAAGAGTTAGAAATATTAATAGCCCTTCCCCTTGTGGAATCCACCTTCATGATGGGAAGGCGGGACTAACACTCAGCAAAATCATTTCGTGACAGCCCAGAGACTGGATGTGAAAAAGGCTAGACAGAGACAGATGAGCAAGGTGGGAGAGAATGCTGCCACCTGCTTCATGGGACTTTGAGCTCGATCTTGAGGGACGCAATGACACCATCAGGGGTGGGTGGGAGAGGGAACCCCAACAGCAAAGGCATGGAGGTGGGCCATGAGGAGGCTGGCCAGACCCCAGAGGGCAGACCTGGGCTGCGGCGGGAGGTGCGGGTGGCTGGGTTAGGTGTATTGATTGCCTCGGGCAGCTGTTACACAGTGCCACAGGCTGGGCGGCTTGGCCGGCAGGGGCTTATTGTCTCCCACTTCTGGGGCTCAGAAGTCAGATCCAGGTGTTGGCAGGAATGCTACCTTTTGTGGCTGAGGGAAGGGTCTGTCCCAGGCCCTCCTTGCTTCTGGTGGGTCCTCGGCTGCAGCAGCAGGACTCAGATCTTCACATCAGGTGTCCTTCCCGTGTTATGAGCAAACATGTCATAGTGGATAAGCACTCACTCTAATGACCTCATTTGAAATTGATTACCTTTTAAGACCCTATCTCGAAATAAGGGCATGTCTCAGGTGCTGTGGCTTGAGACGTTACCATCGGAAATCTGGAGGGGCAGGCTCAGCTGTTACCAGCATCCTCTCGTTCCTGCTTATATTGTGATGGGAGGAAAAGGAAGGGGCACCAACCGGCCCCACGTGAGCTTTGGACTTTGTCAGTTGCCCCTGAGAGAATGGAGACCCCAGGGTGAGGGAGCTTGTGAGACGGAGAAATAGTAGTGAGTGGGTGAAGAATGGCCTCAGGGCACTGGGGGACAAACGGGAGGCTCGTGAGCCTGGGAGCATTCAGGAGATGGTGCCCTGCAGCCCTGCCCCCTCCTGCTTCTACCTCCTCATCCCTCAGAGGCCTGAGAACCCACAACTTCACCAGAACCTGCTGAGAACCCATCAGATACCGAGAGTTCTTTGGACCCTGCACAAGAACATCACCTGTGCCTGGGGCAGGAGCATGCCATCCTCCCTCCAGAGTCACCTTCTGGGAGCCTTGTTTCTTGCAGGCTGACAAGGAGCAGGCCCGGGTGTCAAAGCCTTCCCCGACTCAGCCCCCAACTTGCTGTGCAGTCTTGAGGTGGTTCTTTGCCTCTCTGGACCAGCTGTGACACAGGATGGACCATCCCTGTGTGTGGAAGGAGGAAGAGATGGAACAGGGACCCAGAGTGTCCTGGAAAGCACAGAGCTCAATATGGATTCAGGGCGGCACTGTCCTTGTCCTCTGTACAATTTCCTCTGCCTTTGAACTGCCATTCTCATCTGGGAGCCCTCCTGAAACCATCCGTACCAGCACTTCCCACCCACCCCAGCCCAATTCCTACCTCTTTCTGCTCCCATTATCTACAGCTACAGCTGAGTCCTGGCTCACTTTGGTCATCAGGTATGAGACATTTTCTAGAGATCACTGGGAAGAAGTGCCTTCCTCCCTCCCTTTCTCCCTCCCTCCAAGCTTGCCTTTCTTTCTCCTTCTTTCAGGATGGAGGCATTTTTGTCTCTGCAGATAGAGCTAGTTTTATGTCTTGAAGAAGCAGACTGTTGCTTATGTGGTAGAGTTTGAGGCATTTTGGGAAGCTCTGTTCTTTGAAAATACTAGTCCCGTATCAAACCAGATGATCAGGGCTGAGTTTTGAGCACGCTCAGTTATATTGCAATAGCAGACAATGTCCAAATCGCGGTGGTTTGAAACAGCGAAGTTTAATTTCTTGTTCATATTACGTGTTCGCTGTGGGTTAGCTAGGGCCTGCTCCTTGTCAGCCTCACCCCAGGACCTAGGCTGATGGAGCAGCGACTCTGGAATGTTCCTGGTTGCTGTGGTAGAGAGAAAAGGGCTCTAGCTAGTCTTGAAGGCAGAGGGTCAGAAACATTGAGTGAGTGGTATTAGTTTCTATCACAAGTCCCATACAGATGGCGGAGGTGCTCACAAATCACAATGCATCCAGGTGTCTTTGGTAAGCACTTAATAATAAGAGACAGCTTTTGCATGCTCAGCTCCAGGGAGTCTCACACAAGAGCTGCCGAATCAGAATCACCTGGGGGACTTGTTATACCACAGACTGCTGGGCTCCAGCCCATGAGTCTCTGATTGAGAAGATTTGAGGTGGAACCCGAGAATTTGCATTTCTAACAAGTTCCCA